AGACCTCAAGAGATAGTATAAAATGACTTGATAGACGCTACGGCATAAGGTGAATAAATCATAACGATTGAGAATATACACCAACGTCAGTCAAAACGGATCCTATATAAGCCGCAATAACTGTAGGGTTAGCATTGTATATATATCATCGCCATGACAGCCATCTGAGCCATGATGAACAACAGGATACCCAAATACAAATGAACGTGAATTGTATACGAATTAACTATTCGGTCGTATAAGAAAAAGTGAACATTGAATCATCGCGCATTCAACTTGATACTGCTGTAGCATCATCATCATAATAAGCACGGCAAATAGGCCAGAAAAAATAAACAAAAAGAAAAGGCGTTTTTTCTGACCATAAATCGTTCGCATCGATGAGGAGCAGAAGCAGCAACAGCAATGGTAGTCAGAGAATGCTGAAGATAGTTGTTCTATCACCGGAGATATAGCAATGCATATGTTGCAAAAATGATGATGATGATGACTCAACTGCTGGGTGTTTCCAATGTTATCATGACTCAGTAAATGCCTATGGACAGTTGACTGATTTAACCGATTTATGGTACATTCAAAAAAACTGGTTAAAACTAATTATCATTAGTCAGGTACATTATACAGGAGTAAATGAGAGTAGAATCTCTACCACAACAACAACAACACCTGTCTTGTTGTTGCCGTCATCGACTTCGGAAGTTCACCACTCGGCTAATTATGCTCGCGTGGTGAGTGCATAGTAGTAAGAGAAGAGCCACCACCACCACCGCCTTTGGCTCGGCCGCCAGAACCATACCGCAGCAAAGACTGGGAAAGATGTTGTGACGTTGTTGACCGCGATGGTGATGAAGCTCCAGATGGTGAAGACATTGGCGGCACCCCTCCAGAGTATCCACTCGAGGGACGCCGCTGTTGTTGCTGTTGTTGTCGGTGGTGGAGCGATCGCGGTATAGTAGGCAACGGCGCCACCGTAGTAGCAGGGGAGGAGACAGCGGACACAACCACTCGAGGATCGTAAATCAGAGGCCGTGCTTGTAACGGGATATGCTCCGACTTGGCGTGAAGACGATTCACGAATGCCTCAATCTGATAACAATGATAGCAGAAGTCTCAATCAAAATATGGTCTTCTCACCAACGCGTGTTGACCCTGCAAACGAGCGGCTGACATCTCGCAGGGCTTCCGCTCGCCCCCATTGTGAGTTCTGCTAGTTCCTGATCTCCATTCGTGTTGGTCGAAGCGATCATAGAAAGTCAACAGCGCCTCAGGAGTAGTAAGGTTCACGAAGCCATAGCTCACCTATGATTAGGAATACTAACAACAGAGTAAAACGGGAGAACCTTACTCCTGCTCTGTTCTTGAGGTTGAATGGCAAGTAGACGAAATCGATACCAAACGGGGCTCCAACAGCGGCGTTAACAGTCGCTAGCTCTTCCTCGCCTGCCAGTTCCAACCTGAGGAGATAGATAGTAAATAGGCAAGCATAAACCAACATACATGGTTTCAAGGATTTCCTGTAAAAGTCTTGAACTAGTGTACGCGGGCGGGATG